TTTGGCTCCTTATTCATTGCGAGTACTGAAAATCTTCATTACGTATATTATAAATCATATAGTATATATCAGAGTTTCTCAATCTTTTCTAGCTCACCGCTCTCTTTTTAAAATATTTTTTATTCAGCGCCCCCTTGACCGTAAACTCTCTCTGAACTCTAAATAAAAACAAAACGAAAATTATACAGAATCAAATAAAAAATATTTAAAAAATTATAGTACAATATACATTTATATATATTAAAAAATTACCATTAATGAGAAGTTTGGACTTGGTGTGACGCTAGTAATTTGTCTACCATTTTGGTTCTATTTTTGTCAGCAGCATTCTTAAATTTTCACGCTTAACTATTTGCAATGGATTTTTCTTTTTCGTCAAAAGATTTGTAACGTACTAAATCTACGTTCCAACTAATTAGGATGAGAAAAATGCAATAAAAAATTTTTTTGCCACAGCCCATAATGCTGGAATGTTTAAGGTTTAAATGTTTGTTTAAAAAACATTTAGGAGATTAAATTTCTCTGGCGTATTCTTTTGCCCATTTGCTCCACAATGCCCCCTTACTGCCCTTAGGATTAGCAACGCCCCTTAGATCTCCTCAGCGCCCACCAGGGGGATAACACCCACGTTGAAAACCTATGCTATAAATTATTTTTAATGCTTGCAATGAATAACGGAATACAATTCTTATCTTATGTTAAGTTAAATTATTCGTGATATCTCGATGCGTTATGAATAACTAATTGTAATTCTATATAAATATTGAAATTTGTATTCCTTTCTTTTTTTTTCCTGTATATATGTCTCAATTTACAATATAATTTCACAAATATTATTGCAGATTTACTATCTTACATATATAAAATCAATCACCTACCCCCCCTCCCCCCCATAACAAAAAGTCACATTCACGTCACAATAGAATCATAACAGTTAGAAAGAAAATATAATATCATTATAAGATTGTTGTAACAAAATAACACATGTTACAAAGATATTCGCACATCACCATGACATTGCTATGACATCACATTTATGATAAAGCGGACATTCGCACATCATCATGACGTAATCATGATTGTGTGATGTAACTGTGACGTTTTTTGCTATGGGGGAAGCGAAGCGTTCAGTAATAAAAGAAATAACAAAAGTATTTTTGAAGAAATAAAAATGTTACGCAAATTACAGAGAAAATTCCATTTTATTCTATATTCGTGCATATGTACAATTCATATAAGAAATATAGGACCTACAAAATATTGATAAAAGCCATCTGTTTTCAGGCTTCTTTGTTTTCAAAATATATTAATTATTTTTATAAAAATTGATTATGAAAAGAAATACTAAGAAATTTATGTATATATTAGAAACTATATTAATGTTAAACAATAAAAATATGCGTGTTGAATATATACAGAGTGTCTCAGACCTCTTGTATTACCAGTTAATAGTAGATTCCTAAAATTATTTCGAGACGAAAGTCCTAATATCAAAATGTCAAGGCTATAATAGAGTTTTCAAATTAATAGCGATTAAAGTTCTCTAATCACAGTGCTGACATTTCGCGCGCTGACATGATACGACAAATGGTAAAGGTACGTCATGAGGGCTCAGCAAGATTATTATACAAATATACAACATTTTATTAAGTCAGTACCACAATCAATATTAGAAAAATGATCCAATCAATACCAATTTCAAGCAAGCAACAAACTTTTTACTGACTTTTTACTCTTGGTTCGCCTATACGCTGAAGTTTTTGTTATTTATACTTATTTCATAGATAATGGATTCAAAACTAGGATATTTCAACAGCAACAAATTAGCAACAAATTCCTATGTTATTTTTAAATAGATTGGCTTTGTTATATGTATATTGTTTGTTTCATTAACTTAATCTTCCTTTATCAAAACATCATTTAAAAAAAAACTGACAGAACAACAAATTTTTTTGGCTATTTTTATCAACAAATAAACAAAGCAACAAATAAAAATGTTAGAATTTATTATGCTCACTTTGTTCCGTTAACTTATAAGACATCAATTCTTTTAATGAAGTTAAATCTATTATAATCATTTTATTTAGAAAAAATATGTTATATCTATTAAATATCAATTAATGATAACGTTACATTAATAAATATTATAATTTATAACGCAATATATCACAAGTAATTATTATATATAAAATATATTATGATTCGTATACATTATTCGGCGAGAAATTACAATATTGGTGCAATGTTACCGTTAATTGAAGTTTACTGAGTATTAATCTTTTAACTAAGCACTATTCACTTGTATCAATATTCAAAATATTTTTGGTAATTCTCTATTCTAAACCCTATTTTGCTTGTATTAATAAAGTATAAATATCTGTGAATATAAAAGAGAGAGAGAAAGAGAGAGAGAGAGAGAGAGAGAGAGAGAAACTCTATATAAATACTCTAAGAAGTCTTCAGGAATTCTAAACATGATGCACATAACTTCTTGAGATACTCTTATTGTATTCTTCTGTAAATTCCTAAGGAATTACAATTCAGAAAAACAGAAAATTTGAAGAATGCATTGTGCTATCTGGAGACTGTGTGATAATAAAACTTAAGGTGATATCCAAAAAAGACTTTTCACAGTTTTCACAAGGTATATATTGTTAAAAATGTAGTCTCTAGAGAGAGGGGGAGGGCGGAGAATTGAAGATTCTTGAACTTCAAAGAACTTTGAAGAACAATAAAGATCATTTGTATACTAATCAAATGATATTTTTATTTTCTCATAACAGTCATCGAACTTTATTTGCCATACCACATATATCCTGAAGATTTTTTCGCATTAAACGTTTGAATACGATATCGTTGCGTTGACAGAAGATTTGTTTATGTCGTATGCTCCAACGAACACGTTTGAGTGAGTAAGAACTATGACAGTGTTGTCGCGGCTTAAAAAATAATTTCGCTAAATCCTTTCAAAATTCACTAAAAGACTCCAAAAGATCAAATGCGTGAAATGACTAAAAAAAAGGAGGGGGGGGGGGGAGACAAAACAGGATAAATATATTTTTGCAACGCTGTTGACAGTACAGTTGCTCTTCAATAAATAAATTAATTGCACTGTTTGCAATTTATAGATATATTCACTTATGTATTACAACAATTACATCAATAAAAAAGCCGATTGTTTCATCTTTCGGTAAATTTTACGTGTATGTTAGGTAAGTCTCTGGCAATGCGATTGGATAATTTCGCTACTTATCTAATGCGTAAAATTTGCCAAAAGGTGGAACAATTGGCTCTAATATATAATGAGATTATAACAATCTCTTTCTACGTACCATTTTATCATTTATATTTTTTAAAAAATAACTATAATAAACCAATATTACAGAATGATTGACAAAATAACTCATTACATTTTGATTTGTGAAATTAAAAATGAAACCTATATATAAATTATATAACTAGATTGTGTTCAGCCAGAAAACGCAACTTTAAGATTTGATTGGTTTATGTTAATATGGCCCAATAATTTAGATTCAATGAGGAATTGAAAACAAGATCAATAAGAGAAATAGAGGACGCTGACATAAAAATTCATCAAATAAAAAAACTAATTCACTAAATCACCAAAAGATCTTAAAAATCACTAAATTAGTAAAAAATCTCCATAAACACAGTAACACTGAACTATGATAGGAGCATATGGATTATTGTGGATGCAAGCGACGCAAACAAATCTAAAATTTGCATAGTAAATCAAATGTATTAAGATTTTCAATGAATTAGATTGACATAGTTATTGAAACGTCACGTTTGGCCATTTTCAATATTTTTATACAGTAAAACAAAAACTTATTTCTAAAGACTAAGCCATCTAAAAGTACAATTAAGAGCTTTTAAATGAATTTTAGTTTATTGCATAAGACTTATTTTCTTCATTAAATCATGACTGTTTAAATTTTAGACTTCCTGTTAAATATAATTAAAAAAAAAATCCCTTTTTCCCTTCAAAATGCCATAGTATACAGTCCTAAGATCTTTTCACGCTGAACACTTTTCATGCTGTCGTTAGAATTCCGTGGCATGTCAGGATTTTTATGTAAATTGGGATGTAACAGTACATTAGAAATGGTATTCATAGTTTATTTTTCTTTTAAGACTGTCTTGAGTAATGTCTCAACATAATAATACAGCAGTCTGATTGGCTTATGACATCTTAAGTCTGTACTTAGGACAGTCTTAAATATAAGAATCGACTATGAATACTAGCCTAGAATGATTTTTACTCTGTTTTGTCCCCAAATAAAAAATTTTTGAGGTATGTACTATGGCTAAAGGAACCATACGTCCAACTTTCTCCGGACATGTATTCTTTTTCCAGGCGTCCGAGAATGTTCAACTGGATCTTCAATGTGTCAGGGATGTACTCTTTAAATCCGACCGAACGTCCTCAATTATACCGGCATAAAAAAGGAGTACATGGAAGTCCAAGAAAAGCCGGACGTAATGGTCACTCTGACTACGGCATTTCAGGAGAATTTAGTAAAAATTGGATGGAGAATTATCAGTTTATCAGCTGTTTTCAAAGCTGTATACATAAAATAGTTTACATCTTGATATCAGATTTCCTGATTGTATACAGATCAAAACGTTTCTTTCGGGAAATACATATCCATATTCTCTTTATTTACTTTTTTATTTAAAAAAATATGAAAGGGGATATAAATACTTTTGTCATCCCTATTATGATTTCGTCGAAATAATATAATCAGAGACGTTTTCTAATTATACTGAATTCATTTTGAGCATCGTACGAGAATTATAATTATTCTACTAGCTTTACTTCATGTCTCGACCAAACGATCGGAAATTTACTGCAGTTTTACTCTTTCATGGACAACGGCACGTAGACCCGAAAATTTCGGGGGCGTCGCGGCGCTGATTAAATCGCCACACCACATTCGCCACTTGGATCATCGACACAGCATCATGAACACACTCACCATGTTAAATCCGGAAGTATAATCCATGTCCGCGGGCATATCCAAATCCATGGATATGGCACAAAAAGCACTGACCCACTGATTTCTCGCGAGTACTGGCAGAAACGGCAGAAGACTATCCACGAGAACCTGTGTATGCAGCAATTAACGCGACCGCTCAAAACACGTATCCGAGCAGTTCAAGACGAACTGAAATGAACTGAAACGATCTGATGCTATGACGCGTAGCGAACCAACCTGAACCTGAGCCAACCAAAGACTCACACAGATGAAAGGAGGTAACTTCTTGATTTGCCGCGCATCCGCATCACCGTTGTCCTACTTGTTTATCTGGGCTGCGTTCTAAAACTCGACTTCATCAATCCGAGTATCATTTTATTCTTGTTATCTACCACATGTTAAACAAGAATAAACGATCGGTGTTGACTGAATCGAGTTTTGCGAACGCACACCTAAGCAGCCATTTCGATTCAAGCTTAAGGTCTGTTCGCATTGCTCGCACTTTTTGCACTCGGCATCTTCGCTTTCTCTCTTTTCAAAACCAAATATTGATATGGCTGGTATCATAGGCCTAGTTTCCACCGAGGATTTAATCCGGATCAGAATGTAAGTACCATAGTGCATAAGGGAATCGACCAATCGAAATTTTTCTTTTCCATTGAATAGGAGAAAAGGACAATTAAATCGCGTTCTTGGGTCAAAAAATTTTGAGCAGTTATATTAATCTAGAAAATTTCTCTAAGTTTTACTTTTTTTAAATTTATTTTTATTCTAACTTTCTTTTTAAATTGCTCTGCCTTTAATAATATTTTATGCACATTATACAACAAATTATTTGTATAAATGTTGTAAAATTGTATGTGTTCAGTACTATTTAGAACTAACTGTTCTAAGATCGATAAGCCTCGCAGGAACTAATAGATCTTTGGACGATGAAGCAACATTCAGCATCTAAAGTTTTATCACTAATGTCAATTTTCTTTATGGATTTGCAATAATAAGACCTGTTACAATCAGAATATGGTTATATAATTGTCAAATCTGTTGATTCTACAATGAGTCAATAGTCAGAAGTCTTAGTCGGTAAAGTTGACCAATAGCCAACTTGTAAGACTAACACTGATCAAATTCATCGATTAAGATTAATAGGCCCTCTACAATGAGCCATAAATCATATCAGAATCCTCTCCCTTCCTCCGTGCCTTAAAATATAAGATCTAAGGGTGAAATCACACGGTGCAGAAAACGATTGCGGAACAGAGAATGCGTCATAGAAGCAACCAATCAGCGTTATTCTGCGTTATTCCGAATAGCGCTAATTGATTCATGACGCATTTCAATGACGCATTCTCTATTCCGCAGCCTTTTTTCGCATCGTGTGATTTCACCTTAACTATGAAAAGTGGCATTGATACTTGACATCCGAATGTACCTTAAGGGAGCGTTTAGATTGACCGTAAAACGTGTGCCTGTTTAATAGTCGTTAGCGCAGCTGTGAGTGATTGTAATTACAAGAATTGACTAATCACAATCAAATATGCTCCTCACATTCGACTCGATTGGCTAATTTTTACAACTACAATCACTTACAACTACACCTACACTTATTGTAGAATAGGCTTCATCATATTGTACTTCATGCTTTTATGTGTTTCCAACACGCATGCGCCAGAAAAAGCGGTCTTGCTATACTGCAGCCAATAAGTGCATTCAGGACGACAACCACAATTGGTCTATATTTTAGGATCTAATGGAATATGCCAATAAGAGAAAAGAACTTATTGAGCGCTCAGTAAGCGATTGTCGTTCCGAATGCACCCAGTGTCACTGTCAAGGCATTTCAAGGCGTATAGAGCATATACTCTATGGCGACGGAATAAGAACGTACAAACCGAGGAACGAAGCGCGAACGAATAGCCGAGTAACGTTCGTGAACCATCGTAGCCGGTATCGATTTGTCTGATTCTCGCCTGCTGATTCTCATCTGGCTGCTAGGCGCTCTCGATTTGAGCGCCTGTACCGACGCGGCTACCACGCGCGGTACCGTTATGACGGATTCGCGCGTCGCTGCATATTGTACGCGGTTCGGCGATTTGTGTGGCAGTTTCTCACATGCAACGATCTTTCCGAGTAATGGCGCGTAGGGTTGCTAACGAGTAAGTCCAGCTGATCACTGAACGGTGGACAACATGGTAGTTCGCAGTGACCGTGCACAGGGAGACTATACGTTTCTGCATACGTGAGCCGTGACCGGCTGGAGGCGGGCGAGCGGGTGGGCAGGCAGGACGGTGGGACGGGGAGGTTTAGGCTACGATGAGTACTGACAGTCATGATGAGACGAAATCCTGCAAAACATCCGCGAGGAGCGAAGAAGAGAACGCGTTTGATGTTAAACGAATTAAAAAGGAGCGCAGTGACATTTGTGTGGAAAATGGTGACACTGCTAGCATTACCGCCGCCACCTCTACCTCCTCAGTCACCGTTGCTACTGCTGCCACCACCGTCCTCGAGAAACGACAGCCACCGGCCGGCAGATTTGCCTCGAATGGTTTTCACGGAGATGGCGATCAGCTGCAGGACTTGGTTGCAACCAAATTTGCTACCTTGGCCAACCATGGTGCTTCTTCCAAGCAGGACAAGATTCGGATTATGATAGAGGATGGCATTAGGTTAAGTCGATTTTAAGTTTTATGCAAACCTGACACTCTGATTTCTATTTTTTTAGACTACAATTTGTTAAGATTATAATTTATGATGAGATTGATATATAGTTTGGGATTTGTACTACTTTACAGTAGACTAATCCTAATAACCAAAATTAATCGCAATGGTAATCTAATCTGATCTAATAGATGTATATCATTTGTCCATATTGCTAATTTGCTAATTTAAAATAATATAATCTCATTGCAAGTAAATCTCAAAGCAGTAAAAGAATACTAGGAACCAGCTGATGTAAGTGGTGTGTGCAATTAAACTGTGTACAAGGCTCTTCTCTAAAGGATAGATGCAGATAAAAAACAAAAGAGCGGCAGCCGATCAGAACTTGCACTAATAGTTACTGGTTTCAACTTTTTGTACTGCTTGCTACCAGCGCAAGTTTTGATTACCTGCTGCTTTTAGATCTGAACCTACCTTAAGGGCTATGGTACACAAAAAATTTAAGCAGTAAAATGTAAGCAGTAAGCAAATTGGCCAATCAAATTAAAGACCATAAAGTCATAATTTATGTAATAGCCAATCCAACATATTGATTTCCTTACTGCTCATATTTTGCTGCTTAAGTTTTTTGGATGTTATGGCCCTAATATTTTCTACAATAGCCATATAGTTGTAAGTTGAAGTTATAAAAGCCACAAAAAATAGCACAAAAAACTTTAGCAATAAGACTGTTTATATTATGGCCTTACAGTCTTTACTATGATTGTCCAATTTGCTTACTGCTTATGTTTTACTGCTTAAGTTTTTGTATGTCATGATTCTAAGAATTAACGAATGAAGTGCTATAAGGAGACTATTCGAATGTAATTGGTCAATTCTTATAATTAAACTACTTATGCTTACGACTATTATAAGATATAACACTTTGCCAGAAGAACATTGCTGCAAATTGCTGTTGGCTAGTCTATTAAGCTAATGTTTTGTCAGTGCCTGCTAATGTTAAATATAATTACAGATTACCAGAAAATTGGACAGTCATATAACTAATTAGAATAAGATGTATCCCTTATAAATAGTTACAAAATGATACATTCTGTTCAAGTTTTGGCTGATAGTATGCTACTAAATTCTGCTATTACATTCTATTATATTTTTTACATTCTGTTGACAAAATTAGTAGCATATTCTTTGTAAGATCTGTTTTTGATAGATTTAGCTATTTAAATTATTCAAAATTTCTTATATATGTAACAAAAAGTTGTTACAATAGATATAATAAACAACAGAAAATCTCAATCTTGTTGAATAATTGGCGAAGTTAACGCAGAATCTGAAAATCTTGTGTTACAAAACGATCGTTTATTAGTTCTATTGTAATAACTGTGTTTGCTAATTACAAATTGAATCATCAACAAGAGTTGCAATGGAATATTATTTAAATTCATAACATTCATAATTGTAAACCGATTAACGAGCATCTTTGCGAAACATAAATCTTGTAACTATGTATCTAATGTTCTTGAATTTCAATGTGTAGTATTCATTTGACTTATAATTCATTTCTATTTGCATTTTATTCTTCTGATATATTTAAACTATTTATCTAATAATTTTATATGATTTCATAACATACTGAGGATTGCTTAATTGAGGCCGAAACATTTATATATATATGTGGCTAGTTCATCTTTTATTTATATTTAGCGGAATAAAATTTAATTTGATTTTGCTCAAAAAATATCCAGTGGTATATCCTTCTTTATTATTTTGATATTTTGTGTTATGTTCCAATATTAATTATGTATTATATACATAATGTAATACAAATAGATTCCACATAGAAATAAGAGCAATTTATTAATACGTAAAAATATTGCAAATATTGCATTTGTATGATAATTTTAAAATTGTTGGGAGGTCCTTGTGAAGCATTTTCACCACTTGTCATATAATCATGTTTCAGCGTGTTGAGAAATGTCAAGATGCTGTCCCATGACAGTCGGAAAACGGAATCTCGGAAAAGTAATAGAGTGGAGATCAACCAATCAGAATTATTGGGATGCATTACTGTTCGTCTGCACGTATACATTAAATACAAGATTATCGAAATTAAATTTCTATATGTATAAAAAGAAATTCATTAATAAATAATTGTTCGATAAGTATTCATTTTTCCAGCATATAAATATAACCATTTATATCGTTGGGGATAAAATTGCATGCTTGTCGGTCAGAAATTTTTGTGACTGTCCCCTAGAGGCCCTCAAGGGAGAGTCTGCCAATGTTTAAGTTTTGATTGGTGCAGCCATTATGTGTCAAAATTTTCATGTCATCTTTGTTTAACGTTCGGTAAAGGATGAAGTAATTTAGGTATCATTCGGGTAGGAATCTGAACATAGCTAAAAACGCTATATTTTATGATTTATACTGAAAACGTTATATTTTAATGATTGTTTTATTATTTTAAAATTTGCTATAAAAATCACTAGTTTGTCACATCATTGATGAATGTTTGCCAGACTTTCCCTTGAAGGTCTTTAGGTTTCTCATGGAGCGTCTTGTTTGGAAAATAAACTGTTATTTTAACTTCAAACCGTCT